AAAGAGTGTCAGAAAGTAGGCAGCTGGAATAGCTCATTTGCCTGCGACCTAAACCACACACATGAGCCATGACTTATTATTATGAAAGTTCGAGATCAAACGCGCCGAACGGTACTAGAGTGTGTAAATGAGAACGCTAAACATACTCTGCAATGTGATCTTAACACGAGCCCTCACACTTTTTTATGATATTTTGAAAGGGAAACCTTTGAAGTGATGGTGCATGATAAATTGGGAATTTCTTTGTTTTATTTCTCATCTAAACATGACTTATCGAAAAAATGGTGTATGAAAATATTAAAAAATTCAAGTATTGTTGATTCGAAAATGAATATTTTTCGCTGCAGTCAAATACTAATACAGACTTACTTTTTTTACACTGCGTGAAAGTTATTTATACAACTGCGCAGTGCCGACGACGAATCCGTCGATCTATTTGCAGCTCGTCGAGTATATACCCTAGAGTAAGTGCACGTTTAGTGACAAATGCGCACGGCCGATGTCATGAATCCGTACGCAGTATTATCCGTATAGGGAAATTCAAACTCGAGCCGTAATCCGTAGCTATATTTATCTCAAAAAAGAGCAACTCGAGGAAAATGTGAAAAACATGAATGGAAAACATTGCCCCACAACATTCAAGGTCAGGCGCAAGGTGGTGATTATATTTTCGTAAGTACTAGAATGATCCAAGTTAAATTTAATTTTCGAGATTCAGAAATATTTCTTCAATCAACTTTTTTAACAGATGTAAATTATTTTTAAATTGTTTTAGTAATATTTATTTTAGTCTAGAAAAACTTTCTAAGCAAATTTTATCTTTTCCTTCTTCTTCTTCTTATTAGTTGCCGATTAGCTGTTGTCATCGACAGGCAATACATTTTCGTTTATTCATTGAAAAAGTAAAATACGTTTTTATTACTACCACATTTTTACAGCGTTTGAACAAAAATCCTTGATGAAATGTTTAAACCTTCTCAAATTAATTATGCGCAATAATGAAAAATTGTCTTCAAACCTTAAAATAATTTCAAGCTCTGCAGAGTTTTCGAAGAATTGCGCTTAAAGCAAAAAGCTCATTAAAAGCTCGGTAAGAGAGATGCGCGCAGCTTTTGCCAAAAATAACGCTGGCTTTCCACCGGATTTTAATATCATAACACCACGCCCCAGCCTGTTAATATATTATATCTATGCAGGCGCTTGTGCTCTCTGTGGTGTTAAAACTTGACAAAAAAGCAGAAGCGTCTTTGCAGGCCGTTTAGCGATTGACTTCTCTACATGCGCGCGGACACTTCCTCGGCACGCATCGCGCGTACGACTCGCTGCCTTTGCATATGCTCTTGTGAATAGCTGTACGGGCCAGAGATCCTGTATTAAAATACACGCAAAAAAAGGAGTGTAGTGTGAGAGAAAAATTTATTCACCACCCGGCGTTCTTTGAAATGGAAAAGGCGTGTCTCTCGTGTATACGCGTACATGATATACACATACACGTAAGTATGATTCGGGGCCACATAACTCTTGCGCACTTCTTTTGCGGAGGCGCCTAAAAAGCACAGAATTCTCTCTTGGGCCTTTTTAATGGAATATATACTGGTGCGCTGGCGCGCGCAGATAGTCTTTATTATAGCTCGAGCTCGCGCGCCCGTTAGCTCGTATATATCTGAGAAATCTAGCTCACGATACGACGAATATTAAATACGAGTTGCAGCAACATTTCACGCTTTCTTGAATGCCACGTCTTCTTCTCCTCCTCCTTTCTCTCGCCTGCATTCTTCTCTTGCCTTTCTCCCCCCTTCGTTTTTTCCTTTTTTTTTGTTTATCCGCACGCTTATTCGTTTGGCGCCAGATGGAAGTCGTTTGTTGCTAATATGCGTATACATATATATGCGAATATTTCGAGTGTAAAGAAGAAAGAAATTCCAATCTGCTTGCACGGAAGATGCGAAAAAAAAAGAATATCTAGCAACTTGGCGAGCCACGTTTGAAGTTCAATTTTATGAAGAATATGACGATGTTGCGCTCATGCTTACTTCGACCTTTGTCGCGTAACATACATTGCTTCGTGTATTATATTTTTTCCATTGGCTATGTCGTTTGCTGAACAAAGATTCAGTTTTTCATCGTCGACAAGCTAACATTTGCTCGGAAGCGTGTTTGCGTTTGGAAGAAAAAAAATTGAAGCTAATATACCAAATTATGCTCAAGATTTTGACACAGAGACTGCAAATTTTTGTGTGTTAACTTGTAATTTACAAATTCAAATTAATGGAAAAATAACAAATATCTAAACAAGGTAGGAATAAATTGTTACACGTTATGAAACAAAATAAATTCAAAGTGCACTTATTTTAATCTCTCCTGTTTTGTATGAAACTTTTATGATACTGCGAAAAATTTTATAAATATGAGAATGATGCGTTATGAAAAAGCTAGTTTTAAGCGTATGCACTGTACTTTGATGGTTAATTATTCTTTTTTTTATTTCTCCTATTCAAAACATCAGCATACGCGTAGAATGACTACACGAAAACTCTTTTATTTTTTTATCACTCAAATTATAATTATATAAATTTTATGAGACTTATGTACTAAAAAAAAATTAGAATGATAATCCGTGATTTGAGGCGATAAATAACGAATCATCATACTCTCGCTATGCAAATAAATTTGGAATAAATTGAAAAACATAACAAGCAAAATGATTTCTTTTATTTAAAAAAAACTTAAGACTATAATAAGAATGATAATAAAATAAAAATATGCATACAAATGCGTGCATCCGTATACATCTCTCAAACAAGAAAAAGAGAGGAAGAGAAAGAGAGAAAGAGAGAGAGAAAGAGAGAGAGAGAGAGAGTGAGTGGATGAGAGAGGGAGAGAGAAAGAGAGGATGGCGAGAGCTTTCGCTGTCTGGCAGGACACACGGAGCACAAACGTTAAAAAGTCGCGTTGTTTGCGGAAAAAGCCGGCATTGTCAAGCTGAAAATACCAGGCAGCGACTTTGCATTTCAATGGCCAATCCGTTGCGCTTGAAGTGCCTGTATATATGAGTTTAGTTGTAAAAAATGTACACGAGCAGTGCTGCTAGCAGCGCACACGCTCGTTACGAACCAAAGGGATACACGCACAGGTATATATATATGTGAAAATCAGTCAAGCCGATTGTTGTGTATCTATTGTTCATTTATTTATTCTCGGCCTAGCCGTCTGAAGCTCCTGACAAATTTAATGAAACCTTGCATTTTCTGACCTACTATCAGTGAGAGCTTTTACGAAAAAAAAAAACATGATGTACCATCGATATATCGATTTTATTGTTCACGTGAACTAAATATTTCAGTTTAAGACAAGAGAGAGAAAAAGAGGTAAAATGAACGAGTAATGCGAGGCTTGACTTGAAAATCGCTCACGTGAGCGCTCGAAGATTTAGACCAAAAGCATTAATGTCGATAGATAATCCACGTCATCGAACAAGACGCGTCTCTAGGGACCATATCGGTATATAATATATATAACTATATATATCCTCTTAAGCGACTTCCTCGATAATAGCTTTGCGAGTGTATGTGTGTATGTGTACACCCGTAAACCGTAGGAGAGGCATTGGGTGAAAAAGGAGGAGAGTGCGATTTCTGCTGTCCCTCCGCTTCACGTGCTTAATCTCGAGCGCCAGTAGAGACTTTAACTTTTCTAATTTCAAATGACTTGAACAACTCGCAGTATCGTAAATTAGATTAGCCTCTCTTGCTGGTATATTTCTTTTTCTCTCGTACACAGATCTTAGTTGATTATAAAGGCTGATTATTCCACATTGTTCAAGAAGGTAAATTGCAGCCAGGCCCGATGCATAGAATGAACGCGAGTAACTGAAAGCATCGAGGCTCGCCAAACAAAAGATAGACAGATTATCTGCTTTTTTCCTCTGCGTCGTGCGTCTACTCGCATCTAACGAAAGATCTTTTTTTCCTAGCAGATATTCGCCACATCTGGCCTCTACCTCTTTTTCTGCAGATTAAACACTGATTGTCAGAGAGTCGTGGATGGATCAAGCTCCTCTCCGGCTTTCTTTACGATCCTCGATTTTTTTCATTTGCTGCTGTTTAGAATGTGCAACGAGTTGCTGCCGGCTCTCGCGATACCTCGTACCTAGGTAAAGAACAACGAACAGGTTACAGTAGAGGAGGCTCGCAGTATTAGCTCGCGCAGTGTCATGGGCAGCTCCACGCGCGCGCACGTTCGAGCTGTTACTTACTGGCAAAGATTGCTCTCCCACGCGAATGGATATTGTCTTAACTTAATTGCTCGCGAGGCAGCACGGCGGGACTCGAGTTGCTGCCTGCCTGCCTGCCTGGGTGCGAAGCGGCTTGGGCAAAAGAACGTGAGCTGCATTCATATCATCAATTATCATGCGCCGTGGACCAGCTTGTTTTTGTCTCTCGCTTTATTCTTCCTTATGCGTATCTCGCCTTCTGATATGCGTATGCAAAGCCGGGCGCCAGTCGAACGCAGAGATCAAGCTCATTTAATTAAGAATTCTCGCCTGTTGAATGAAAGTAATTGCGACCATACATTGTCACTGTGATCTCTTTTAACTCACATGTAGTTACGAATATTTTTTGCTTGGGTAAATACCTCCAAAATAAATTTTCAAGACGAAGATATGAGTCATCTGAGGACTGCGATTAAAAGCAATTAAAATGGTTCCTAACGATAAAATTTTTTTTTTTTTGAGAATAGTATTAATTTTAAGTATTTAATTACTTAATATGTTGAATCGTTGTAAGTTTTTCATTTTAATAAAAATCAAAATGACATACGAACTATGAGAATTGAAATTAATGTTAAAAATATTTATCTCTTTCTATACCAAGTTTTCTAAATAAAGACAATAACTACAAACGAACTCTACGTTTAGGTAAGCAATCTGATCAAAGTCGCTTGTATTTATATTTGATAATAATTTGCGTTAGATCCACACAATTAGGTGTTAACTGAGCTAGCTAAATGGCGTTATAATCGGTAGATTGAAAACATACTAATTGAAATTTTGCTCATATAACAACAAATCTATATATTATTCTCTTAAGTTGTTATGTACGATACAGTTTGCTTGATACTACATCGTATTGATAATCTATATGTCCGCATATATCAGTTCACATAGTTTACGGCCTTGATTTGTGATTGTGTTTTGTTAGACATGGATGTACAAGAAGAATTCGATGAAAAAAACAATTCACTAAAATGTGATGAAAATATTTCGATGCATCTTGATGATTCTTTATTGACTAAAGTAAGTTTTAATTCCTTTGAATGATACTGAAGCCAAGCAAAAATGAAAATTTAAAAACTCGATTTTAACTAAACAACGAAATAAAAACGTTCATAGAACTTTTTAAAAACAAATATCAAATCTATAGAAATGTATTTGAAATTGTCATTTTAGCTAGAGTTCGGTATCTCTACAAATAAATAAAAACAAATAAATCGTGATCATAAATAACAATATCATTTAATCAGCGTACCTCAGAAAGAATTAAAAGTCAACAGATGAACAAACCAATTGTGTCCGGTAGATCTACACCAATTGTGTCCGGTAGATCTACACCAATTGTGTCCGGTAGATCCACACCAATAAGTATTATTGACGATGTAGAAAAAATATTGTCCGAAGAGAGAAATTTTACTCCGATACACCAATGTATTAAAATTTTTAAATGTTCAGAATGCGTTGAGGATAAAACTTTTGTATCCTTTGAAGAGTTTGGAAATCATGTACTAAAAACTCACGAAAAAGCTCTAGCTTTTAAACGTTTATTCACGTGCAACAAGTGCCAAGCCGTTTATTTACGCAATGTAGATCTTTTTCGTCATTTTTCTTTTGAGCATTTAAATGTCAAAGTTTTAAAATGTAAAGATTGTGGAGCAAAGTTACGAAAACAAACCATCCATAATACTGATCAAAGTTCATCAGAAGTCAATGATCAGAAAGCAATCATTGAAATGGTCAAATAACAGGTCAATGGCATGTCAAAAAAAATTGTTTGAACCATTGCACTATCATGCACGGAAAATCATCATTACTTTTAAAACCCATTCCAAATCACACGTTCAACGTAAAAAGCCACCAATAAAATAATAGATAATAATAGGCTGATAATTTATGAAAATTTAGAGATTGCTTCTAATATTATAGAAAATATCGCCCCTTCAGCGTAAGAACTTCCTTAATAAACTTGAGTGGCCAAAATGTCCTTAGACCTATGTTAAAAATGTACTAGACTATGACACGTTTTCAACTTTCTTATTTATTGAGGTTGTTCTTGTGCTGACGTCGCAATGTTATGGATATTGTTGACATTATTGTAGATATAAGTTTAACTGAATATTAATTATACTATAGTGAATGATTGTACACATATAATTTTTAAGAATATCATCAAATATTTTGACATTCTCTTATAATAAAGTGATGATTATACTGGAAAAGTTTGAAACATGTCTTACTTATTTATACATTTTTAAGGGATCTCCAAATTCAAAGTAAAATTAGAATTCAAAGTCAATACAATTGACTTTTTTTAAAAATAAATTACAAAATTTTTTGCTTTAAGTAAAACCCCACCATTTCCCCCCCATTTGGTTCCATTTTGTGTATGTAAAATTCGAATTTTGTCTATGTTGGTTGATTCCAAAAAGTTTTTGAAGTAAAAATCGTCAATACATTCCAAAATATATGCATAAGGCATATTTATGTCTAATTTTTGTAGTGTGATTTGACATGATTTAAACCGGGTTTGAGTATCTAAATGTAATAAAAGTGTAACCCTTAAACCTCACATAGAAAATAATATAGAAAATAATATAGAAAATAAGATAAAAATAATCAAGTAAACTGAAAAAAATCCCTGCCAGAAATAACATATTGCACCTACATTTTGGATTTTTGTCCAACAAGGAAAATTCATTAAAATAAAGAAAACCCATGTTTTTTCATTCTTAAAGATTTGGCTCTTGTATCTATTGGGTGAGTTCAATACAAATCCACGTACAATTTTTCAATGAATTTTATAATAAATAAAATTAAATCCAAGTCAATAAAGAACAATGGATCCTTAGTATTTACATATTTACTCATTCTGATAAATGAAGCCATATTGAAAATGCAGTAAATTGAAACAAACATCAATTTGGTATTTTTAACTGTGGTTCTGAAGAGAATAAAAGCTTAATTTAAATAAAAAATAAAAAAGAATTGAATGAAGTTAATGAATAAAAATTCATTCGTTTTTTATAAAACTTAGAAAAGTAAGTATTTTTGGATTTTACGACTAGATTATATTTTTTCTGCTTTTGCTATTTGCTACTCGACAACTTTCATTTATCTCGTGAGCTCTCTCTCTTCTTATTTTCCTCTTCATTTCTTCCTCAACGTCGTTTGATTTGAACTATTCTAGACAAACATTTCTATGAAATATTTCTCGTCCGTCACGAGAAGATTTGATTCTGAGCAATTTCAATGCACTCGAATGATTTTGCTATTAACTACCACTTCTGTTGCCACAATCAGTGTTTTTCATAGATACTCATAAGTTACCACTTAAAAGAAGTACAATAATATTTTTTTGGGCAACGAAGCAAGTGCGTGAGGTAACAATCATTCGAATGGTTAAATCTGAGGTCAATACCAGGTCCAAACCAGTTTATATCTAAAGTTCAAATCATTATAAACCTTGGTTGAAAGATTAAAAAATGATTCGAAAATTCTCTACTTGAATCGCGGGACTCCAGCCGAAAAGAGGAATAGCTCTTCACAAAGAATAAACTGAAATATTTCCACTATCAAAACCTGCGGAAAAACTAGTGAGATTATTTAATTGGCGTTTAGGACCTTTATCGAAAAGAGTAATTAACCGATTAATTACTGCATGATCACCGTATGATCACCACATAGTTTCGTACAGTATGATCACAGTATGAAAGATTCTGAAAAAATGAAAAATTATGATAAAATAAAGTAAAGTAAAGTACAGTGAAGTAAAACCAATTTTAGTTTATAGAAAAAAATAGAGTGCACTTGCAGGTTTCCATCAATTCAATGTATAGATTCAGTCTTACTCTTTCAAACTACATTAATTTGAACGATAATTTCGTGTGCTATATTAGTTGCTATACGAAAAAATCGAAAAAATCAAAGAAAGTGCTCTTTCTTGCTATATCGGATGTTAGATAAAAAAAAAGATCGACAATGCCGTTATTCGAGAAAATTAAACATGTAAATAGTAATGATACACAATCACAATTTTAATAATAAGTAACTTCATTTCTAATTTTGAAAACTCGAGAACGAATTTTTTCTACGCTTTTTAGAGGGTTTAAAACAACGATATACAAAGGTCAAATTTTGAAAATCACGATCTTTGAAGGTGTGCTTAGAGCAATATGTGGACTCTTGAGGGCTGAAAATTGGTGAATCATCTTTTTTTTACTACTTCTTTATGTGGTTCAAATTTGGGAAAGATCCAAGAGGGTCGGACGGAAAAGTGGCCCCAAAAACCGTCAAATGCCCCATATAAAATACTTACTAATGTATAATCATTTTCTAGGGATCTCTAGGGTTATTTTGAGTTTCGTATATGAAAATCAAAAATTTCGAATTTTCCCCTGAATAGCCAAACCCTTATAATATTTAATTTATCAAGTGTACAGTTTAATTTGGGTTACTTTTTTGAATATCGTCAATTTACTATAAAAAGTTCTAAACAATTAGAAATCTAAGTAGGTTTTGCTAGTTACATGCTAAATTAATTTTTTGAAAGGAAACTATTTTAAAATAAGATCTATGCATAATTACAATTCTAAAATTAGGAAACAAAATTGAAACTTTTTCACGAGTACAAACGTGAAATTGAACCTTTACGATATGTAGACTTGACGCAATTTACTTGTAAACTGAAAATTCGAGAAGCACTCAATGTTGTTGCGGAGTCGTTAGATTTTCACACGCCACACGCACTTACAAGCTCGCAAATTATAAACACTATTATTCAAGGAATTAAGTTAGCTTCGCTGCTTGCATGTGTATACATATGCAAGCATTGAAGTAATATTTAAGATGTAATTTTACCACAAGTGTGCAAGATACAAAAAGGGATCGACGCCGACAAACCAAAGCAACAGTTACGAACACCATGTTTTCGACGACAGTAGTATACTTATATTGAGTACAGATAAATTACATTTTTAATTAGAGTATGATGTATTTATTTTTACACATGACACCTTGTGATCCTCCTATTCATTTTTATTACAATTTTATTTCAATAGTTTTTAAATACAGGCACCTTTTGTATTTTCACGCTAGGTAGTTTTCTATCAAGCAATGTCATTTTGAAAAGTCGGTAAGAAGCAGAAGTACATTAGTAAAAAACGTTTTTAATTGAAATTTACCAAAAACATGGTCTGGAAGTTGAGGTTAATAACTATTTACATCGATACAAAAAATTATATTCTAATTGGATTTTAAGCTTTTGAAGACCATTTGAAGTATTCATTAACCAGTCCATTAAAATGCTCGTCACGTGCAGTATGTTTTGAGCTCATTTAAATATAGATGTGTACAGACATTTTAACGAATTACCATCTTCAGAAAAGTGCTTCGCCGCTTGTTGTAAGAGTATCGTTACCGTAGTCTGCTTGTATAGTGAAAAAAACGCAATTACCTTACTTTAATTAATCCAACTTCTTGCTCATTGCTTTCCTTTTCTCAGCTGACTCAAAATTCCTTTTTTGAATCTCTCTTTCTGGCTACACTTTACTCGTAGATTTGATCATCTGAAAGACTGACAGTGAGAGAGAAAGATAGAAGAGAAGGAAGAAAAAAGGCATGAGCTTTTCGTTTCCCTCTCTCACTCGCTCACTCTACAAGCAAACTCTCTTTAAGCCCTAACGGATCTCGGTTCGGATGAAAACTCCTTCGAATAAGACGGAAATGAGTTACCTCACTTTCGTTTGTCAAAGATTTTACGGAGAATTTGCGCCTTCTCCATCGTAGAACTGATTTAGTAATATCGACCAAAGCTCGTGTTTTTTTACCTCCTAATCGCTTTTCCGTCTTTTTTTATTTCAATCACATTCTAATGCTACTTTTGCTTTAGTGGCAGTAAATACTAAGCCTTTCATAGGTTTAACCTTGGTACTTTTTCAACGGCTTACTTTTACCTTTTCCTTTTTTAATACACTTTTTCTTCATTTTTGGAAAGTAGACACCGATTTTCTTTGAAGTGATGTTGTTGACGGTGCAACTGTAAAAAACCTCATCTTAAGTCCTATTCAGCCCGCTTTAATTTTTCAATTTGTTAGTTTTAGTTTATTGTTTATTATTTTCCTACCTCTCTTTGCTTCAAATTCCAAAATTTATAATGATTTATAAACTATTACATTTTATTTTTTTTTCTTTCTCTCATATTCTACCTCTTTTTGCCGAATGTTAACTATAGATACTGAGCCGTGTGATAGAATTAATTCAAAGTTTTGGGATTATCTGAAAGATTTGCTGCCAATCATGCTGATTATAGCCAAATAAAGATTTATTTTATCCGAATTAAATTTCTCGAATCAATATAATTGTAAGTTCAATTATTTCGATAGAAATCGATACAGTTCATACTCGTTCAGTTCATGGGAAAATTCGAGTTCAATTTTTTTAAGTAGTCATATATAGGATGTAGTTTTTATGAAGTAAAAGAAAATCATTATTAACTCTTATTTTAGGAAATGCCTTTTCTACATACATTTTTCGTAAATTGTATAACATTACACGAATGGCGGGTATCATTGGATAAGGGCTTACTAATTACGCTTAAACATATCGATTTTTCTCTGTCCAAAATTTAATTTACACAAATAGACCCTTGTGAAGATTCATAAATATAGACACTTACGAAAAAATGAACCACACACGTGGTTTATCCCTCTGCACATATAGTGCTTGCGTTAACGGCTGCGAGGACCGTATAATTGAAAATTATACGAAACGACACGCGTAGCTTAGAGTCGTAATAGTAACCTCGCTTCTTTTGCAACATTGCCATAGTCGTAATCTTTGTATGGGTATACAGACTATTCGAGTACGTATATGGCTATATACACGTATATATTAAACGCGCTACTCCTTACATGAAAAATGTAAATTCAAAGCGCGGGTACAGTGACAGGTAGGTGCGCATCCAGACTTTATACACATTTAAATTAAAAATTTCAATTCTAGATGGTAAAAGGTATTAAAGCAAGAAACGAGTCTTTCACGAAAAAAACATCGACACGACGTGCTGTAGGGTTAAAGAGTATTGTCAGTGAAAAGCTTTCATAAACTCCGTATCGTTCCTTTGCGAATGTTCACAATTTAATTTGAGAATAAAAGCATCACTCAAAACGAATCATTCGAATATTCTTCATTTCGTTATATTTCATAATTAGGAGCAAGCTTAAACTATATAGTATACTTTTAAATTCATATTGTACATGTATGGTGTCAAAAGTACGAGAGAATTATACTAGACAGACTCCCTAAAGCTTTTTGACTGACAAATGTCACCTAGAAAACTATATTTTATACTTCACCAGTCGCATCAAAGCTCGCGGCAAGCAGAAGCCAAATAATTGATTTCTCATCAGTTTATAGGATAAAGGGCTATCTTATAAAAGAATTTCGAGGTTTACAGATAAATTATGTGACAGCTTTTTGAAAGTTCATCCATGTGAATAGGAGGAGTCAAAAAATGACTAGCATTACTCAGACGCATCAGAATCAGAATTTTGAAAAACGAAAAGCGAGTATGTATTTTTTGATACACGTACGCGCATGTATAAGGGTGAATACACACGGGTACACTGGAGGGACAATGTCGTTTCGCAACGATAACGGCAATGCCTCTCGCACACGTACGCAAGTACAAGCATCCCAAAGTGTCGTGTAATTATATGCAGATCCTCTCACGCTCGTGGTCGGGGATGCGTGAGCACGAGTATGTATGCATGTCCGAGTCGGTCCCGTGTGTATATGATGCACAATTGTAAGCACGAATGTAATAATAACCATTCTTTTCGCCAGTAATTAAGTAGCTATGCATATACAACTGAGCGCTGCCCCTAATATGGCTGATACATCCCGAGTCAAATTTGAGCGACGAGTGCGAATAGTCTTGCAGTTGCACGACCGAATGTATGTATACGTGTGTTTGCGTGTGTATACGCGTGTATGCAAAATGCAGAGGACGTTGATGGAATTCCAGGTGATAATAGACTATCTGCGAATATATTATGAGCACACAACCCCACCGGCTCTTTGTTCCTTGTGTTTAAACCCATGCACGTATGCCCGGCCGGCTGCGTATTTTTCAGTGGCTATTATAGTGCCCGCCACTTTCATATAGTGCAAATGATAACAATGTTGAAAAATACTAAAGAAAAACTGCGAGCACATTCTCTTTTTGTTCAACGACCTTTTAATATGTAAAACTCGATTTGCCCTCTACTATCACCTGAGGCACAAACGTGAGATTGTTGCGGATTTTTTTGCAACGAATTATTTTAGAGCCTCTCACCCATGTCTATGTTTATGTATTTTTTAACGAGGCAAAATAGGAACTCAAACATTTAACTATTCTGATTTTTTAAACTAACCGTAGTAAATGAAACTCATGTATCGATTAATATTTTCTATAAAAATAGTTCATTTTTCAATTATGCTAATTTTCAACTCTACATAAAAAGGTCATTGTAAGGTTGTTATGAAATGAAACCCTTTCAAACTCAATTTCTGGCACGCCAAATCCACAAATTAAAATTTAATGACAAACAATTTCTCTATTTTAAATGAAAGAACAATAAATTATGTTTCAACTTGAAAGCCTCACTAACAATAATTTATTCAAAAATATTATTGTTTCTGCAAGTATTTAAAAAAATTATAAATATTTTAATAAATTGAGCGTGCGTATGGTAACACATCCGTGCAGCTAAAGATAACCGGTTCTTCTGAGATATAATATCGATAGAGTATATCGCTGTACTTCAGGTTCAGTTATTTGTTAGGGTTAGACGGTAAGTTAGTAAACTGTAACCAACTATACCAACTATAAGTAATTAGGGTCACCGAACAAGCGGTTGACCAGTTCTCGGTGAATAACCATTTTGAAAATTACATAATGAAAAACCACTAGAAGTAAATTTTTATGGGATTTATTCAAATTCTTATTGAACGAGTGAATCTTATTTCTTACATGTGATTATCGTATGACAAGGAAAAAGTATAGTTACTGCATATCCACAAATTGTCATTTACTGGTTGAATGTTGTCAATTCCCTTTTAAAGTATACTCTTCATTTATATTAAATATTATGTGATGATATTTTGGATTATATCGAAATGAAATATTTAGAATTTTACTCCGATTCTCGAAAAATTAAAATAATTTCTTACAATGGGTCTGTGCCGAATTTGGATCAAATCCGTATATTTGCTTGATAATTAATATTAATGACTAAATACAATGAAAAATTCAATCGACTTAATAAACTAAACATATTCAACAAAAATATATTATTTAAATACTGATATTAAGTTTTGATCTTCTATATAAAAAATTAATGCAAAGTGCAGCGAAAATAACAGTGGAATGCTGATTTGAGCGCAATCAGGAATGCAGTTATCACTACTACCAAAGCTACTAAGATCACTACTATTATAGCGGACAACATTTAAAAACAGAATCATTACTGAGAGTAGTCCGGTAGCAAGGCGAATAAAAATTAATTGTTTTGATTATGATAATAGAAAGCAAGACTCGTGGATGACATGACAGTTTCTATACCGAATTACAAAAATAATGCTAAATCAATTATGTTGTAAATTAAAAAAAAATTAAACAATTAATTAACCTTAAATTTTTCATATGATATTTTTATTTTTTTATCGTCCAAGTATATAACAATGAGAGAATAGATTTTAAATATTTTGCGTTTTTTTTCTAGATCCTAGATTGTGCAATAAAAAGTCATTGACTTTAACGAAACAATACACACATTACCTTCGCGCTTCACGCTTGCATCAATGTGCTTCCTGAATATCATTCAATGCGATTCAGTAGCTAAGAATTTTTTGTCTTTTTTTTAACTTTAAATAAACATAAATATTGATCTCATTTTCGTACAGTAGTTTTGTTTCAAGTATAATTGTATTGGTGTAATAAAATATGGATCAAGTCAATTGAATTTTTTTTCTCATTTCGTGAATACTTATTTGAATTGAGAATCATCAAAAAAACTTGTATCGTGTGCACCGTTAATCGCTATATAAATAATCAACTCTCACTTCCACTTTATTCCACGAGGAGTAAACTTTTTTATATTTTTATACAATAGCAATCATCTTTGAAAATATTGATCTATTTAAAATGATACAAAAAGTCACCAGCTGTTTGATTTTGAATTTACAGTGAGCTGTGAACTGGATAAATTTAGTTCAGTTTGTATTTTGCAATTAGTTAAGCAAAAAGTAAATTAAGAGCCTAGATTATACATTCAAAAAATCACTCAACGGAGGTCAATGAAACTTATATACAGGAAGAATGAGCGGTAATTATTGGCAAAAAAACGTGTAGTTCAACTCTTGTAAATCTTAACACTGATTTCTATTCAATTCTTGTTCTAATTTTAAATCTACCGTCTGCTTGAATTAATTATTTAAAATGACGATTGGCTTCACCGAAAACTTCTAATCTGAATTTTTTTTCACGTAGCCTCTTTTTTGTATTGAAAAGATTGAAGTATCGATGAATAGATTTGACAACCTCTAAACATTTGATATTTTTCATCTCAAATGTACTGACCATTTTTCCCATGACTTACAATTCATCTGAACGCAAAATCACACAATAGCGATATCTGATTCATTTGTATTTTGAAATGAAAAAACCCAACCCACATGTCAGTTGTCTTGCCGTTGGATACGTAAAAAAGAAAACAAAAACGCGTGTCATTCAAAATACAAAAAAAAACCATTCACACGGGGTTTTCTGCAGGGCACGAGTACGATCGCGCGTGCGAGCCATAAGAGAGCACTGCCATCAAAATGCACGTCCACGCTCTTTACTTGCGCCCGTTGACAACGTGCATCACAATGCATACGTCGTCCGGCAAACGGTGGTCGAATTTTCCTTACTTCATTTGCTCATTATGATTTATGTGTGTATACGCGAGCTGCGAGGAAGCTGCTGCCTCCGTGGCTCGCTACGTGTTTAGCATCTGGCTAGCCTATACGTACACGCTTCGCGAAATCTATTGTTTCTATAGATCGTGTATAAAGGTTACGAGATGAAAGGACAAAAAAATTATGCTGAAAGAAACATCTGTCCCCATGACTGTGTCTCATGTGTACGTGTGGCGCGTAGCGCACTCGTGTGCGTATATAAAGATCGCTTATGCTCGATGGTTCACCGAGATCACCCCCACGCTCGTAATTTTTCGCGTGTATACAACCTGCGCAGCTCGACCGATCGCCACTCAGTTGAGAGCCGGACACCGAACGCCTCGTAACGAGCGGACACGACTCTCATTCGTAAATAAACAAAGGACCGTCGTTTCGATTTTCATATATTTTATACACGCTAACAGCATACAAGCCAAGAAGAAAAATGACGAAAGCAATTGTCACGCTCGCCGTTTGTGCGCTGCTCGTAGCTTTGGCCAGTGCTACTCGAGTCAACGAGTGCAAGAGTGGTAAGTTTTTCACATAGTCCCTTTTTTTTTTCATTTTTCTTTTTTCCATAGCGCGCCGCATTTTATCTTTTTGTACGTTCTCGTGCCGATCGCATCATTAGCTATAGACTCGAGCTGTTTTAGCTTTTGGCGTGTATTTAAAATATGTTCCACGATAATTCGGCATAACACGGTTTTATTTGTCTATTTGGGTTGCGATACGCAAAGAGTTCAGATTCCGCGTTGAACTTGTTTCTTAGAATCATTGAACACAAATGCGCTGATAACAGCTCCATTGAAAAGCTGAAGCGTAAGTTGACGAAGATTGATTGTATTATGTTACATATAGGTACTACATTCATACATCGATCTTCTCACAATTCATGTGATTAAAGCGGCAGAGTAAATTATGCTATCATTATTGTATGTATTACAATAATAATAGCGAGACGTGATATTTATTTTGTTACGAGTAATAAGTTTGCAGAGGCGAGTGAAACTGCTCGCAGCGGCGACGATATCGAGAATATTGCATGTAAGACAGCAGTAGCGAACGCATCGTTTTCATTCTGACCAAGCCGGGGATAAAGATTGTGTGTACGTGTGTGCACAGCGTAATGAATAGGGCAATTTGAGCGCAGATATAAGACCACGACGTTTTATTGACGATTTAGACGAACGACTTATACTGGTACATTACGTTTGTGGCTTGTAATAATGGCCCGAACTCATTACCACTGACCTGATAATGTGCAACCTTTTGTTGACATAAAATATACTTTGAGCAAATTTGCTTTTTTCATTTGAGAATTGTAAAGAGCTTCGCTCTTTTTAATTTGCACTTCGTTTCTAGTTTGGTCGCGAATGTAGCTTTTTTCGATAACGCTTCGAATCCATCCAGTAGTTCAGACTGAGTAAGCAATACAGTAAACCGGTTTGTATTAATTTGCCTAACAAAAGTCTTCATTAGCATCTCGTTAATATGTATTGTCCACATCATCGTCGAGATGCTTTTTTTTATCCTATATACATAATAATACTGGAAATCAAAATTTATTTTTTGCGTCTATAAAGTCGCGTCAAAATACTTTTTTTTTTAATTTCGCATGTTTCATCATTACGATGATTTTATCGCGCTCACGTGATGACACGTTCACGTAAAAACATACTATTATGTGCCACGGTTATTATACCGGCGGATCGAGGATACATGTAATTGAAAAAAAAATAAAGCATTTATCCTGTTTACGTTTCAAGGTAAAGCGATTGAAGATACGACAAAGGTCCAAATCACGAATTGCGAGACACCTCCATGCAAACTGAAGAAACGCACCAAAGTTCAAATTGTACAACGTTTCACACCAAACCGCGATGTTCAGAGTGTCAAGACAGCTGTTTACGCGACCATCTTGGGTGTACCATTACCTTTTGTAGGCGTCGATGGAACTGATGCATGTGGAAAAGTATTCAACGCAGCCGACGGATCACCAGCTCCATGCCCACTCAAGAAAGGAGTTGAATACCTTTACAAAAACGAATTCCCAATTCTGCCAATCTACCCAACGGTAAGTTGTTCACAATAACAATTTTTTTTCGTAATATATCACTTTAAATAACTCACGAGATTTTATCAAAGTAAAATTTTCCGCTTGAGCCCTTGTATAAATAGTAAATACCTCATTGACATAGCATACATAAAAGTTTCAATGATGTTACAATTAATGCTATGAAAAAACTACATTTGCAAACTTTTTGTACTGTCTCTTGACGTCTAGTCACTTTATTGCAAAAAAATGCTTTTAACAATTCAAATGAGTTTTTTGTTGGTCCGAAGTTCAGCCATGAAACGTCGTAAGACATTCAAATTAGATTATTTTCTCGTGACTCACATCGAATATAATTTATCCTTTTTATCCCTAAAATTTTAAATAAACTTGAGAATAATTTTTATTCGAAATGTAATAATGCTTATTTTTTCATCAGGTACAATTGGTCGTGCACTGGGCTCTTGAAGAACCTGACAAGAAGGTTGTAGCATGCTTCGAAGTCCCATCAAGGATCACTGTGTAGATTTTTTGTTTAGGTGAAATGTGTTCACAATAAAGTTATTTTGCCTTTTAAATCCAAATTTTCAAAATGAATGTACAATAGCACCTCATTTCAATGAATAGTTGGTTAAACTTTGTGTTTACTGTGCGCGTGTGGGAGTGTGTGTGTTTTTAATTGTTATGAACGTTTTTTACGATGTAATTCCATTGAATTTAATAAAACAATAATTTTTTTTAATAGTACAATCTTTTTTTTTAATTTAATTTCTCATAGTTTGAAAGTAATAAAAATTTTGATAACATAATTATAATCCTATGTTACATCATCTTTGAAATATAAAACTAAATTTTGTTCTAGACAAAATAAAAATCATGCAATTTTTTAAATGGACAATATGTATTTTATTTGAAACTTTTTTGTGCTCAACTAAGTTTGAGTTTGAAAATGTTGTATACTTATCATAAAATTACAACATCATGAGCTATCAGTACTATTCACTATTTATAAGTGTACATAATATCGATTTGATGAAAATGAACCGGTCGGTAAGACTGACTCTTTTTAAGAATACATGAAATCCCATGTAGATGGCAGTAGCTTCTCAACAAAATTGCAGACTGTTTAGTAAGTTGGTACTCTTTAAAAAAGATGTTTTTTGATCGCGAGGATTCAAAGTGTCTTTATTTAAATTATTTTACGTTTAAGGTTCTTGGTATATTTTTTACAGCACGGTCAATTTTTAATATAACTATTATTAAAGATATCCAAGAAAATCAGAAATTTTTTCGAATGATTCTAATAGTTTTAAAAAAAATCGATAGCATACAAATATCATTGCATTCTCTTAAAATTCAATAGTTCTGATATCTAATGCTTAACACACGAATAATCTTCTTTTTTAAGTAAAACAACCATATTTAGAAAAAATTATTTCAAAACTTTGAATTTAACAAATGGTTTTAGTACATTCTTTTCACGAAATTTTTGAGATTCACAGTGCTTATTTTTCGAAGATATTAATCCAGATTTATTTACTATTAAAAAACAAAAAACAACGAACCAGATCTTATTTAAAGAAATGAAAGTTATCAATTGTAGAAAATGAATTCGGTGAAAGCTCCAAAGATCATTTTCCATGCATACAATAAATCTAAATAGTTCACAAACTATAATTTAATGTCAGTATCAAATATCTGAATATGACTCATATACTTTCGACCCTTTTTTGCGCCTCCAAGACATACGAAACACTTGTCGTTGTGATTCAAACAAATCACTGGGTAGCCGCCGCTGAACAAATTATCCCTATACAAGACAACGGACCAGTCGAAATTAATCACGAAACAATTCCATTCTGTCCATCTCCACTCCCTCGTCTCTGTAGGTTACAGCAGCAACAGCATCAGCACATCGATTCCGATCAAACAGCAACACTAGTAATCAGCGCTGTTCCATCTCTTCCTTTAACAGCCACCACTACAGCTGCTGCTTTACCTCTAGTCCTATTTCCCCATCGACAGCTTTCAACTACAACTACTACTACTGCTGCTGCTACGACCACCACTACTACTCCGACTACTACTACTCCTACTGCTGCTAATACTACTATTGCGTTAGCTGCGCTCTGTCGACAACGCACTACTGCACTCTGACACAGGGTAATTTCGAGCTATTTTTCTCTCGCGATCACGGCACTGGAGATTAGCAGGCATCCTTTCTTTCTCCCTCCTTTCGCTTCTATACAGATATAAATAACTCGGCGAGTATATATCACGGCGTGACTGAGGTAGACCAATGTCTTGAGGACGCAAATTAGCCGAGGCTTCTTATAAATCACCCCGAGAGCATAAAAAGAGAAAAGACAAAAAAGTAATAACAAAAAAGAAAAGAAAAAAAAACAGCGAGTAAAAAAACGGCGAAAAGAGTATAAAACGTCTGCAGCCGGAGCGGCGCAGTGTGTGCGCGTGTGCATCAATGAGGGTTGCTGCTGCTGCTGCTGCTACTAGTACTACTGCGGCGGTGGTGGCTTGGCACGGGGGCTCGCGCCGGCGCCAAGCTTTCCTTTGACATGCCAGTATGCGGTCCGACTTCAGCGAGGAACCACGTGCCGTCATGGTGTCGGCTGAGGATCGGTTTCGAATCGCACATTTTTCTCTCTTTCTCTGTCTCATCGACTCACTCGATGCGTGACGTTTTAATTGTATCGACAACAATTTCGGCCGCAAGTATAGTTAACGACTAATTTGATAATTGGCGTGTTGACGAAGAAACGGCCCTGCCAACGCGATAGGGTGAAACACGATCGTTGACCTTTTTCCGTCGGTGTGGCACACAACACACGTGGCCACTCGGGCTCTTGGCTGCTAATTCGAGTGCTTATTTGGCGACATGGCATTGATTCGGAATAATTTACTCGACGATTAATGCGTATGAAAATGTAACTCCTCGCAACGATGCAAGTCAACGAGAGCATTCTTTGTCGCGACACTGGAGCAAGGCAATGAAAATACACGCCCGAACTTGCGTTACAGTAATTGGATAATCAAAATTTCAATCATGATAATGAGCGATTGACAGGACTTTAATTTGCCCCTAGCGCGGATTGTGAAAATGAAATGTTCCTCCCGAGCGCAAATGTCAAAGCTAGTGTAGTTCAACGATACCCAAGTATAACGTCGGTTTAGTGAATTAACAAAGTGATCGAGTGCTATTTTTCCGCACCATGTTGTGTTATGTACATCATCATTGAATGTGTCTTGTGCATGCGTGTTTAATAGAAATAATAACCATCACTTCACGTCACTGCTAATTAAGGGTGTACAAGATTGCGCGCCCGTCGAGTTTACGCATACATTTAGATAATAATGCAGCATCCTACAGCTTAATGTAGGCATGGAAATCGACGAGTTATGTTAAATTATCAACTGCTGCATTGTAAAAATTCGATAGACTATTTGATGATTCACGAATAGGAGTTCCGATAAAATGATAATGTGGTGTTTAGTGCTGGAATTGTGCGTGTTCTCGTCGTTCCTGGGACTGACGGAATCCGCCATACGCAATGCAGGAAACAGCGGCAAGGCTACCGATACGTCAGGTACGTTAATTTGGAAGTTTTTCAAGCACGCGAGTTTATACTCTGTGGCTTGCGTGAGACCCTTAACGAAACGCGAGAGAGCTCGGAGGTGCACAAAAAATGTTTCACCTTGCGTTGTTGCGCGCCGAGCCCTATTTATCACTCCGCAGTTATGCGCCCAGTCAATTTTACAATGCAAAGTTAATATAGGAGCTCGATGCACACGGGGGAGGACCTACGCACGTAGATCGAGCAAGTGCTTATTGATAAAAGCAGAACAAATTAATGCATCGCATAAAGCTCATATCTGCATTTGCATTGATAACGGAAAATCGCTGGATTTATTTTATTACCTCCAATGTACATGAGTAGGCTGTGGAGTGCAGGTAGGAGGGGTGAGCGAGCGAGAGTGAGGGAGCAAGGACCGGGGTATAAACAGAAAGGGATGATGGCCAGTAGAGGGCTAAAGGGAAACAATTACTATCATGCAAATTTTCCGATATTATAACTGAATGGATTTAAATTACGATACGAGCTCTCTATATATTTTGCCATTACCTTTTATTACAAATAACTTTCAACCTTTGCCGTCCGGATTATAAAAATATCAGCACTCGATTTATTTATTGGCGACGGCGAACTTTTGAAAAAATTTCAATCGTATTATAAAATTACATTACAAAAAATAACAACTGAGATAACTCTGATTATTAAAATGCTTCGAAAAATCGGATAAAATTGCGTTAGCTTTTAGCGTCAAAGGCCAATAAATCTCTAATGCTTAAATAGTATAATACGTATCTAGACTGTAAAAAGAGAAAAGTCGCAGTGCACGCGTAATTAGCGGCTCAGGCAAAGCTGAGGCTAATAAAAGCGCGAAGCGGGGCTTTCTTTTTAAGCAGCCTAGGTGTGTGTTTGTACAATTTTTCACGAATCCCCAGGCAGAAAATAACAATTTGGTTTGGGCCGCGGGCGCGATAATGTTACCTTTGGCTGAAGCAGCGTGAAAAGGCATATTTCATCGCTCGTAGAATATAATGCAATAAAATACATCGTTCATGGAGAATTGCTTATTTATTTTGATGATTGATATAACTCGACAACTATGCGGTAAAGTCGATCGATTACGAGCAACTCACACAACACGCGGCTATAACGATACGAAAGATTGATTTTCACGCCAACCTTATAGCCGACCGGCAGAAGTATCGACAATTATTTGTATTACACCCTGTACTACAAATCGATGAGATGATATCAAGTGGAAAACTGTGCCTGAATAAATAAAAAAAGTTTGATAAGAAAAAAAATGAACAAAAAAGAGAGAGAGACGATAAAGCAGAGAGAACATCGGATATGAGCAAAGCGTGCGTTACAGGAGGAGGAGGAGGAGGAGCGAGTCGCAGACAGCCTAGGCCCGCTTTCTATATACCGCAGCAGCTAGTGTCTCTATATATATACTGTTATAGCTCGAGGGTGCGCGAGAGTGGCCGCTTTTTGAAAAGGTGCAAACGCGTACCTCCATGACCTCCTCGAACGCGCCACCTCCTATATAGCCGGCCCCTGTCCTCTGTCCCCTTGGCTGCTACTACCTACAACTCCGCTACTTCGTGTTTACGATTCAGCCCGGTGATCCCATAAAAATTCTCGAGGGCTTTGCGTAGCTGTAGCAGCAGCCGAAGCAGCGAAAATGCCTCTCTTTTGCCCTGGTTCTTTTTATACGTGGGGCGCGCAAGCGCCTTTCCCCAAATGTTGCCACTCGTGTATACACTGCATCGACACCGTATTTCGGCCCATAGAAGCCGTGTACAAAGCCCGAATCGTTCCTTTTTCTATCTTTCCCGGCTTCTCTCCCTTTATGTTTATGTTGTTTTCACTCGTATCTTCGCCCGCAGCGCTAGTAAATGAGCAAAGTCTGTGTTCTTAATTTTCTATACATTTCGGCCACTACGCGGCTACTACTACTGCTGCTGCTGCTGATGGTGCTTGCTAGATAAATCCATTACACTTGTGTATGTGCAGCAGCTATAGTGTAGAAGTAGCAGCAGTAGCAGCAGTGGCAGCAGCCGCTAGCCCCGATATCAATATAGAGAGACTCTGCCCACTGGACAGCTTTTCTGCCTACGTATAGTTATTGGGGCATATCGATTTGGTAGCATGTACCAGACTGATGGACTTTTTTTCGTATAGACTCTTTGTCCGAGCCTGTGCTTTCAACGTCAAGCTCTTTTCACGATGAACTTCATGCTTGGTCTCTTTTCACGCGCCCGCGTGTTCACGTATCGTAGAAATGGCAAATTTGCACGGCCTGGCTCTGCGAGGTATCGGCGCGCCTCAAAGATTTTGAAGACTCTTTTTTTTTGCATTTTGTTGCACCGAACGAGTGCAACTTCGAATAACATTCTAAACTTCGTTGATTATCTTCAAGTTTTTTATTAAAATAACTCGTTGGAGCGACCAGTACAAGAAAATATAATTACACCCTTTAAAATTGTTGCAAGAAAGTGCTTTTTCGGAGGTAAATATTATTTGAAGTTTTTTATTTGTATTTTGAGTGATCACCTATTATCGAATAGAGCTTGAAACACCCACTTCCTTACACTACACAGAAAGCGCATCAAGCAACAATTTTGAGTGATGATTCTTGTGCATTGGTCTTCGAAAAACTACTTCAAGAGTAGGAGCCATTAAGTTTTAAACTTGAAAGTTTCAGCTCAGTAAAATAAATACACAATAAGAATAAGGCAACATTACTCGTTTATATGTATGTTAAAAATCTCCGCAATCGATTTATTAACTAAAAATGTGCCTATGAATATGCGAAAACACCACTGAACGATTGCGTGTACTTCAAAGTAAAAATATATTCGTTAAAAACGTTTATTTTATTTTTTAATGCATTTATTCAGATTGTCGAATTACCTTTTCTATCACCTTTTTGGGTTCAAAATATAATAGGGTTAATCTTCAAGAACTGTACCTTTGAAAAAACTATAGTAACGGGGTGAGAATCATTAAAAAAATTCTCTGCACTCTAGAAAATATATAATCCAAAAATGTTCTATAAAATTATGAAAAAATATATTTTTTAGGCAGTATAATAGAGTGGAATCGTTATTTTTAGTATGCCAAAATTTTTAACGAAGTTATTTAGAAAATTAAAATGACTTTCAACGTGCCCCTTGATTCATAGATTAATTTATTTTCAAGTGACAGACTTCTAATTATATTTTGAATTGTGTAATTACTAATACCCATTTTCTCTTTAAACTCCCTTATAAAGATAACAATTTACAACATCAAAATGAATCAGGTAAATTGAGATCCGAATAAAAACTAGAATGTATCAAATTTTCTTAGTTCATATCGCTCAAAATTTTCATCGAATTAATTCCTTCTTGAAGGCGAGACTCAACGATACGTTAAAAATTCATTTTCTTTTATTCTTTAATTCGTTCCAGCTGAATGAATTTTTTTTTAAATCTTCAAAATGACATTTCAAAAATCAGTCATAAGGAACTTTTCTATCTTTACATCCGAAAACGCACCGGCAAATAGAGAGAGAGAGAGAAAGAGAGGAAGCAGAAAAAAACCTTTTCTCGCCCAGGAAAAATTTCATAAAATTCTAGAAGATGAAAATGTTAACTTGCTACATTTTTACCTCGAGATGAAAAATAAATTTATTCCTCAACTACTCGCTGCAGATGATTTTTATTAACAAAGTTATGCATCGCACACGCGAATTGTTGCGTTTTCTTGCTGCATCAAGCACAGGAGGCACGAGGGCTCACAACAACAACCACACAATTTATAGCTGGAGTGGATAAAAAAAAGCGCAGCGTCGGATGCAATAAAAAAGGAAGGAAAGTCTTGTAAAAAGCGATTATAACTGCAGGTATCAAAAGGAGCAGACGATTCAAACGATACTCGCTGCGAGGTCTCTGGAGAACCGAGACAGCAGCTGTTGGCATTTTCCAAGATAAAATCGCACATGGGAAATATCAGCGAGCGAGCCGATAGTCGTTGTCACTCGCGAGCTCAGCTTTTTCTCCTCGGCACGCAGCCGAACGCTCATTTTTATCTGGGAACTATTATTCGTCGGAGAAAGCGAAAATCCACCGTTCGCTCGCTCACTCGCTCCTTAGCTGTAGCAATACTCGCTGAATCGTGCAACGATCAATGTTATCGCTTGTATATCGAGTTCATTGCTCGTAGGATTCATTGAGTAGGCAAAGCCTTTGCACACAGTGAGAAGTTGTATACGCACGAGCGAGAGTTGGTAGGGTCTTAATGAAGGATATGAAGGAAAACGAGGTCGATTTTAAGTAAGTTACACTTAATTTCTCACTCTATCGAGGGATGAAATTCGATTCGACTTACAAGGCTGTATTTGTGCAGACTCAAGCATATCGTATCCTGTTGCCCTATCTATCGAGGCCATATATGTTTTTGTATACAAGTGCGTCTATATACTGCGCATCATAGTATTGTTTTCCCAACCACGGATGAGTCTGTTACTTCGAAGCATCTTTCGCTCTCCTGTATACATGTACGTTTTTGCGATAGATTTCTATTACGTATGTGATGTATACACACCTACACATTCACGCACGTATTATTTTATTTCAGTAACGTTGTCTTTCGAAAACTATGTGTACATGAAAAGTATTTTTCTGTGTCGTTTGTATCTTTCTCTATCTCTTTCGCCCCCTGTTCCATACGTGCTATCTTTTTGCCTTCATTCCCTTTTGCTCTTTTTTTCTATCCAGTGTAGCTCACTGTCTCCCTCTTCCTTTCTTTCTCTTTTCTTATTCTTCTTCGTCGTCTTTGCGTCCCAAGTCAACCAAAAGAGGGAAAGAAAAAAAAAAGTAGATAATACATTTTACGATACGTTTCATGGAGGAAAATTATACGGAGAAGTTTTGGGACTGGTATCGCATCGCTACTGCTGTTCATTCCATGTGCCATCTCTCAAAAGTTTAGCTTCAGACAATTCTTCTTTTTCCTTTCTTCCTTTCTGT